GCTATTTTTTGGTTGCAGCCATCATTGTTGTTTGGCGGGTCCAGGCTGGGGATTCGAACCCGCCACCTTAGGTGTACGTGGCTGGCACCCTAGCCGGTTGAGCTGTAGGTGCCGAGCCTGAGCTGTTCTTTCTTAACCTCCCAAATTTCAGTCCTGTTGAATTATTCCACACAAGATGAATGCAGTCAGCATAGCTGAGCACTCACCATGTTGATGCTTGCCACATAGACAGCCAATTACTGAGACAATGAGGATTATCAAGGAAGAAAGGGTTTATTGCAGTGGCCACATCGACGGGGAGGTAGGAGGAACGGTCTGCCTCAAATCTGCCTTCCCAATCAACAGTGTCAGGGGTTTTTCTGGAGACGAAATGAATAAAGCATGAGGGGACTGAATATCATTACATGTTTGGGGTGGAGGGCAGGGCACCCAAGTGCAGTGAGAAATCACGCTACTACATGCATCCCATGATCGAAAAATGGCAGATAAGTCCCTCCCAGGTGGGGACTTTAGTAATATGATGAGCTAGGTGTTAATATTGGTCATTCATTCAGCCTTGTGCACAGGCTCAGTGGGTCCTTGGGCATGATCTGTGGTGGGGCACTGCTCATCTTGTCTTCTTTGGATAAACAGGTGATGTAAGACTCTACTTACCTTGTGGATGCAAGGATGTTCCACCATTCCTGGGAGGGAAGTTCAAAGGAAAGCATCGGTACAACAAAATTACAAAGCTTGGGTCAGCGGATCTTACTGAGAGCTCTCTATTTTCTGCCTACTTGGGAACTTCACTTGGTAAGTTACCAGTATTGAGATAAACTCACTTCTACTGTACTGGTACCACCAATTCAAAGTCACTTGGAGTAGCCAGCTCTAGCCATGTGAATGCTGAAAACTCACTTGAAACATAAAGTAACTAAAAATGCTATTAAAAGAACATTTTCCTACTTATGGAGCCAGTTACAGCGGTCTCTCTGACCCTCATGAGGAGCCAGCCCTCCTGCTGAGCATCAGTGACCCCACATTCAGAGGAGGCTCTAACTTGGCTCCAGCACCAAAGCCTGGGTTCACATCATGACACCACAGTTGTCACCTTGCTCTGCGGAATGTACTTTGTTCTGCCAAGAGAATGTGGTTCCCAGGGCAACAGGCAACAGCATGGAACTGCTAGGCAGGACAGTGGGGCACAGAGACAAAACCCCAGAAGATGCTGCCTCTCCTGCTCATCTGTCTCCTACCGGCCACCAATGGGAAGAACTGCCTCCGCTGCTGGCCAGAAATATCTGCCTTGGTAGACTATGACCTGCAGATTCTCTGGGGCACCCCAGGGCCCCCTGTAGAAGTCTCCCAAAGCATCCACTCCCTATTCCTGGAGGATAACGCTTTGTTCAAACTCTCATGTCTTGGTGAGGCACACCCAGGGACTAGGGATCGGGCTGACCCCTCCACCTGACCTGGGCTTTTACCCTTTTGACTTCCCCTCGGGCCGTATCTCATCCTCAGATCGTGACCACTTGGATCAAGAAATAGCCAAATTCTTCACTCAAGTACATAGAGCCATTAAAAGGTTACAGAATGGTGAGGAAGCCCGTAATGCCAGGGCTATGGGACTTGGGTTGCCAAAGGGCTGGGCCTCCAGGTCATTCCCAGAGGCCCATTTGGCCATGGGCTGGGGGCATCTCATGAAGGGTGGGAGAGACACATAGCCTTGTTCATGTCCGTGAGCTCTTTGGGATTTATATTTGGAAATATGGGTTTGAAAGCCCAACCTTGAGCAAGTTCTCTTTGAGCACTGCTCCCCTCTTGTTCCACCCAGATAAAACAGTACTTCTGGAAGAGATTCAGATACGCAAGGTGCTCTTTATGCAGAACCTGAACAAAATATCCGCAGGGCTGAAGGAGAAGGGTGAGGGGTGGGGCTGGCCCCTGCGCACTGCCCAGCCCTGCACCCCCTGCTGAGTGAGATCTAAGGCAAGCAGAGTCCAATCTGCAGTCACCAGCCTCCCCAGTGGCCCCACCCCTGCCCCCAGCCACCCTCCCCAGCTCCACCTCCTGCTCACACCTCCACTCCCATGGCCCCCCAGCTCTATCTGCCTCCCCAGCACCTCAGTTTCTCTACCTTCTCACCCTCCCGGACAGCCTGCAACAAGTCCTGTGGTGAGTGCACTCGGGATGGCCTGGGCAGGGGTGAGGGGTGCCTGGCCGGCCCCTCTAAGCCCTGCCCATCCCCTGCACAGACATACACTTCACACTGGAGGTGACCAACTGTGCCAACTGCAAGACTCACCCCCTCTCCTGCGGGGACCCCACTCTTTGCCTAGGTCAGTGGCCCCCACCCTGTCTGGCCTCCCCCCATCCACCTTCCACCCCAGGGGCCATTGTCCAAACTGAGCTTTTCTTGCTCTTCATCTTCATCTGGGTGAAGGTAGCACCTCCTGGCATGTCTTGATGTCCTCATGTCCAGCTTCAGAGCCTTAGAGCCTCTAGAACATCTCTCCCAGAGGCCCCTCAGGCCCTCAAAGTGGGCATGCCTAAAAACACCCCAAACCACCCTTATCCCCCAAATCCTGCTTTTCTTCCAGGGTCCATCTTGGCAAATGACCCTACTCAAGCCCTTAGCAAATGGCCCCACTCGTGCCCTTGGCCTCCTCAGCTGGGAATCTCCCTAAACCTTAGTAATGCAGTCACCAAATCTTGCTGCATAATTCCTAAGTGTGTTACCATGGCTGCATTCTAGCCTCTACCACTCAACTCTTACCTAATTTACAGCAGCATTTCCTAGCTAGTCTCCCTGCCCCTCTGGGCTACATCTCTGAACTCTTTCTCAGGGAACAAAGCTAGCTACCTGGGACACTTCCTATTTATAACCATCCGTGGAGGCTCCCAGCTTCCCCTAGATAAAGCCCACCCTCCTGGGCTGTGTGACTTTCTAGGCACACAAAGCTGCAGAAGCTGCAGGCTCCTGACCTTGAGCGTGTCCCTCTGCCTGGGATCGTTTTGCCCTTGACCGTTTGGACTATCCAAGTCCAGTCAGATCTCTCCCTGCTCAGCCCCACTCTCCTGGCCTCCACCGCCCCAACCCCCTGCTCCCCCGTAATTGCTATATCTTTCTGGGACCATGTTTCACTGGTCTCTAGATGTGCTCCATGCACAGAGAGGTGCTCAGTGTTTGCTAGCAAGTGGCTGAGTGAGAGACTAAAAGAAAAAAGGATGGTGCCCTCTCTCTGAGCCTAGACAGCCCTGTCTGTCCTCCAAACACCCCAGTCAGGACCCAGAGGCCCTACACATGGGCTGTGATCCTCTGCAGTGTTCTGCTCCTGGCCCTGGCTGGAGGCAGATTAGTGACTTGTCCCAGCCCCATATCCCCAGGGGCTGACCCATCTCCACCTGTTTCCTGACCCAGATGTTACTTTTTCTGACACAGGAAGAAGAAAGAAGCACCATTAAAGGTACCAAGAAGGGAAACCCCTACCCCAAGGGGGGAGTGCGCTGAGTGTACCCTGGAGGGAGCAGGAGCAGAGAAGGCCCCAATTCTGGCCTCCCAGGGTCTGGCATCGAAAGCAGAGTGGGATTGAGGGCCAGGACCCTCTGCAGGCCCATGTCAGGCCCTGAGTGCACAGATGTAGTGGGGCCATGTCCAAGGCACCGAGGTGGTTAATCTCAGACCCCTGTCCTTCCTCAGGGTGCCCTGTCCCCTGCTGCCATGTCCCCATCTGCCCTGCTCCCCTTTGCTGCCCTGCTCCCTCACTCACCTGGCTGCCTCTCCCTCCACTCCTAGCAGGAGGGAGAAGGACAGGGATGGGGACAGGGATGAGGGTGGAAACACCCTGCTGCTTCCCTTGGCAGACACAAGCCAGCCCACCTGTCTCCCAGAAATGAACCAAAGCTGCTGCCGCTGTCAAGAAGCTCATACCTCTCAGAGGCCTGGTAACTCCCCCACCCTGGATGCCCTCCATCCTGAGTCCTGGGGCTCGGAAGTTCTGAGCCCAGGAGACCACGCTCTCTTGTGGTTTCCACATACCCATACCTTTGTAAATAGTTTCTTCATTAAAATGTGTCCTTTTGTCCTAATTGTCTGTGACATCTGCTTCCTGTCAGGCACAGAGAGGAGGTCTCTCCCCAGTAACCCTGAGTGAACTGTCTCATCTGCTCACCCTCCCCAACTGGTAACCTACCATCCCCTCCCCAGAAACATCCTCTCACACTGCCATGGTCTGGAACTGGTGGTCTCACAGGTTCACATGGCCTCACCTGACCCCAACACTAGAGACAAGGACACGGTGGCCTGAGAGCTCAAAGAGTCCCACCCAGCCTTGGGCATGGAACTGAGGAGGAGAGAGGCCAGCTCAAGTTCAGGCAAGAGCAGAGACTAGCAGAAAGTAGAATGCAGTCCCATCCCCAGCAAGGCTACCAAGTCTTGGCCAATAGTTTCTCTGGGAATACCCAGGTCTGCTGCTGCTAACACACGGGGTCTCCTGGCCTGGCAGCTGGGAGAGACTGTGTCCTTGTCCTTCTCAGGATTCTGGAGCTTCTAAGTTCAATGGGACTGCTGCGTGCCCCCTCTCCTCTACCTGCACTGCTCCTCACAGCTCCTCACAGCTCTCTCGGCCTGGCCCAGGCCCTCCCCAAGACTCACCAAGACCCTCCTGCAACCCTGAGGCTGGAGCCCCTCACCATCCTGGCCAGCTCCTAGTCAGAAAGGAGGGGGTGCGGAGGCCAGAGCTGTTAACAGGAAGCCTGGAGCCTGGACTTCAGTCCTGGCTCTGATGGAGAGTGCTGATACCCCCTCTGAGTCTCAGTTTCCCCTTTTGAGAATGAGGGGAGGAGGACATATGATGCTTTCACCAGGCTGGTGTGCCCTGACCCTGGGATCCCTGAGTTCATATTTACCATCCAGTATCTGTTCATGCCGTGGGTTGAACCTAAACTTCACGTCTATTTCCTTCCTTTGGCCCACCGGATCCTGCCAGGGCCCAGCCCAGCTCCTAAAACAGGATAAGCCTCGTGTCTCCTTCCATCCTACTAGTGCTCTGTCCTTGAAGCTGGCAGCTGGCCTGGAAGAAGTCCAACTTCACAGCACCATCCTACGGTCAGGGCTGTTCCCTAGAAGGAGATGGGGCCTGCCAGAGACCTAGACCCTACCCAGGAGTGCCATGGCCAACCTCCCTGCTCCAGCAGGCTGGGAAAAATCACAGACAAGGTGATTGGGGAAGGTATAAAGGACTCAGCCATATGGCGAGGCCAAGGGGCACAACCATAGTGCACACAGTTGGCATGAAAAATTGTGGTTCTCTCTGCGAATCCAACAGAGCCAGTTGCCACAGGACACGCAGATGCCTTGGTGCCCGAGCCAGAGATGGTGTTATTCTATTTGTATTTAAATTGGGACCCAGACCATTATCTCAAAAGTATTCAGAGTGACTGTTTCTGACACATGCAATAAAAACAGAAAACCCTGGGTATAATTCATGTGCAGCATGAGTTGGTGTGTTTGTCTGTATTAGTGTGAATGCATCTCTTGTGGGTATATTTGCATGAAAACTGAATATTGAGCTATGTTAGAGCAGAAAGATCAAGAAATTTAGAGTCAAGTAAACCTTGGTCAAAATATAAGCTCTGGAGGACTGGACTTTTGCTTCTGGTTACAAAAAAACAGCTTACAGCAGACTAATACTCCAACCAAAGGCAACTAGAAATAACACACACCAAAAGAATAAAACAAAACAAAAAATCCACCTTAAGGCATCAGATGAGGTTCAGGAGAGAAGGGGAGGCCTGGGTAAGCCCAGTCACCCTGCCAAGCTAAAGCAGCAGCACCAAAGAGAGGATGACCTTGAAGCTTGGGAGACCTTTCAGCAACATCATAAGACTGAGAAGACAAAACCTGGAGTTCAGGTTTGCCAAGACAGACCTGAAAGGTCCAGATCCCTGCCAGCGGGGAGGTGTAGAAAAGTGAAATGAACATACTGCACTAATTTCCTCCCCCACCCCCTGAGGCACTTGGGCACTCTCACACAGCACAGGCTACAAAGAAACTAAGCAGGCAGTATCAGAAATGCAGAGATTTGGACAGTGGAGAAATAAAAATCAGAGTTTATGACCCACAAAGGAAGACAAATGGTAAATACTCCAGGCATTTGTTGCTGACACTATACTTCAAAGTACAGGTGCACACAGAGCAGACCAATGCCTACAAAGCATGAAACCAAGCCTCAAGGCACTTCAGCCTCTGACAAAATAAGAAACATCTATTTTTATTCCACATCATTGCTGGAGGACAGGGTAAATACTCTCTGAAGGAAAATTTTATCTAGATCCATTACCTGGTTTGATTTACAATGTCTGGCATCTCAAATATTAACATGTATACCCCCACCAAAAATACAGGATCAAGAGAAAAAACAGACAAAAGAAACGCACCTATAAGTGATCCCTATATTGGATGCCTTTTCAACAGATGGTGCTGGAGCAATTTAAAACCCACAAGCCTCAAAAATGTAAGTTTCATGTATTGTTTTTAAAAAAAAAATTTCAAAGTAGATCATGGACTTAAACATAAAGCACAAAACTATAAAACGTTTAGAAGAAAATGTAAGAGAAAATCTTCAGAATCTAAGATTAGGCAAGGAGTTTTTAGACTTGATACTGAAAGCATAATTCATTAAAGGAAAAAGTAATACATTGGACTTCATCAATACTGGGAACTTTTGCCTTGAGAAAGATCCTGATAAGAGGATGAAAAGGCAAGTTACAGACTGGGAGAAAAGACTTGCAAACCACATATAACAAATTACTATCTAAAAATCTCACAAAACTTGACAGGAAAAGTCAAAATAATCCAATTAGAAAGTGAACAAAAGACATGAAAAGACATTTTACAGAAGAGGACACGCAAGTGGCAAATAAGCACCTGAAAAGGTGGTATTCAATATCACACCCATCCAGAAAATGCAAATTAAAGCCACTATGGCACACCAAGAACACGCCTATTGGAGTATATACCGTCTGTCACTGACAAGACCAAGTCAGTGCTGGGGAAGGTGCAGACAAGTAGGCCACTTATACATTGCAGGGGTAACATAAAATGGCACAGCCACTGTGTGTGTGTATGTGTGTGTGCACCCCAGAATCCACAGGTTTCTGGGAGATTTACTGAGGCCAGTGGGCAAAGGTCACCAAATTTCCTGCACAAGTGGGAGTTTCTTAGCAAATGGCCACTGTTTGGGATTCTGGAGCGTTCTTGTGCACGTTGAGCCTGACTGCTCAGTCTGGAGAAGTCTAGCCAAGGCCCCAGGCTACCCAGCACTCTGCTTGCCAGGGCCCTTCACATTCTACCCTGCCCCCTGCCTGCCCATCCCAGCCTGTCACCTTTTTTAAAAATTTTCCGGTTAATATAAGGATATATACAATTAGTTTACATTGTTTGCATTTGTTAGCCCTGTTATTTATTGAGTAACTATCACAGGCTAGGGACTTGATCAAGATGAACCCTTTTTAATCTTCACCTTGACAACATGTGCTATGGCCCATCATCCTTATTTTGCCGATGAGAGAATCAGACTTCAGAGAGGTTGGTTGTCTACACAAAGTCACACAGCTGGTCAGTGAGTCAGCCAGGGCTGTGCCAATTCGGAGCCCTTGTTCCTTTTACTTTGCTTCCTAAGAAGGCTGCGTAGCACTGGAACAACTGCCTCCAAGAGGAGGCACCCAGGAAGGGTCAGGCAGATGTGGGACAGATGGCCACACCAGGTGACTCCCCACCCCAGGAAGGGTCAGGCAGATGTGGGACAGATGGCCACACCAGGGACCCAGGACTGGAAGCCCCCTTTAACCTTATCCTTCAGACACAGCAGTGGGAAGCAGGCATGGAGAGGTAAGAATGCATCTGGACGGATGTGCCAGACCCTTGATGACCAGTAAGCAAGCATGTAACTGTGGTCCCAGAGCCCCAGCACCCACTACATCAGCCTCAGCACCTACACAGTGAGTCACCAGGATTCAGGTAGATGGATTAGGCAATTTCAACCGCTGTAAATTAAAAATCTTCATGTGCTGGGGTCCTTCTGGCTCAGGTTCTGTGAGTCTAGGATGCTCCAGAGGAAAATTAGGAGTATGAAGATGTTTATAAAAAAATTATATTTAAAGAGTCTTCTAGTTTCCAATGGAGGATTGACTTCATTTATTTAATTTTCCTCCTTCCTGGAATTTGATTAAAACTATATTAAAGGATATTTTTTAAATCATAAACCCCTAGGAATGGGACGAACAGGAGAAAAAATAGGAACAATTAAACGTGGGTAGCTGGAGGTGACTGCACTGGCAAACCCAAGAAGCTTAATCCTAAACCAGCAATGGAGAAAAAGGGGCCCATGGCTTAGCACCTAAGGCACCAGCCACATACACCAGACCTGGTGAGTTCAAATCCAGCCTGGGCCTGCGAAACAACA